TTTAAAGTTGTTCGCGGTATAGAATTTTCTTTGGCAAAAGTAGCTTTTGAAAGGTTAGACTTTTTAAACTTTTCAACCAATTCATTTTTTTCCGATATTGTTAAATTCTTTCTTTTCGAAGCCATAATGAAAGCATGGATATGTTATTCGTTCAGTAATCCAATAAAAATGTTCTTTTCTCTCAACTTCAACTCCTTTTCAAGCTCTGAGAGATAACTTCAAACGATCAAAAGACCTTTTGCCCTTGGGCGGGGAAAAGAATGCCAGTGGTCAAATGAGGAGAGGGTAAGGTCATCAATGAATGCAAAAGAGAAAAGAGGGTAGGGTGACGAAATAGAGGGGGGAAATTCCAGTTCTCTCCGGGGGTCGAAGGAATGTGTTTACCTTCTGGTCATTTTTCTTGTCTTCCTGTCTAAAGAAATGTCTTAAAATGTATCTTTTTTCAAAAAAAAAAAAAAGGAAACTGACCATATAACCGGTAACTCGAAAAATAGGATGACCATATAAGCGGTGATCTTTAACACGTGTTTCCTATTAAGTTAGACGGGACTTTAGAAAATTGACCATATAAGCGGGGTGACCTTATAAGAGGGTGACCATATAGGCGGTACTATCTATATATATATATATGTGTGTGTGTGTGTGTGTATATATATATATATATATGAATGAGTGATAAGTAGCAAAATTTACTACCTTAAAAACGGAATCTTTACAGAAAAGATAGTCTTAAAAAAAACAATAATAAAGAAAAACAATAATAAAAACGGAGAATTAAAATCACTTTTTTTCTCGAACAAATTAATAATAATTAATGAATTCCTCTCCCTACTCGCAATTTAACGATTGATTCGAAATCACTTTTGTTCCTTTAAATAAACAAACTTTTTAATCAAAATTAGAAGTATTCAATTAAAAGATCCCAAAATGTTATCTTCTATAAACACAGGTTTGGCTCCACAAATTAAGTACCCGATTCTATTATAATAAATCTTAAATCTAATTATTTTACTCGGCTATCTTTGCAACTTCATTCACAGAATCTTATTTATTTACTGGTTACTAAACGCTTAAATGTTTTTCACCAAATAGATCATTCAGCTATAGTGCCAAAAGATAATTCTCAATATTTCTTTACAATTTGAATTAGTATTTAATAATGAACATCATTTATTGCATAAGTTAACTGTACACAGTTTTACAAAAAATATGTTATAAAAAAATTGTAAAATGTTAATTTAGAATAGATTAAAATGTTGCGTACGACAGTAATATTGAAATTACTTTATATTAATACGACTTTTGTAAGTTAGGTTTTAAGCAATTAATTTTTAAATAGGATGTTGATTTCGATAAAATTGTCGTGATTTTTATTTTCCTTTTTAGTAAAAATATCATAAATCGAGCTGAAATACCCGGTTGAACCAGATCTGAGAAAAGAAAGCCTCTCTGAAATAGAATTTTTCTTGTGGCATTTTGGAAGAATTATTTTGTAAATTTAGGATGTAATTTAGAATTTGTAACTCGGAATATGATGTTTTAGAATGATTATAAGTAATTAAATGATAAGTTCTTAAATTTAGAGAAATGAAGTAATTATTTTCTTTAATTAGAATGTTTCATTCAATAAAATTGTCGTGATTTTTATTTTCCTTTTGGGTAGAAAGATAATAAATATTGTTGAAGCCACCGGTTGAAACAAATCCAAAAAAAGAAAGAAAAGCATCTCTGAAATAGAACTTTTTTTGTGATATTTTGAAAGAAGTACTATGTAAATTACTGAGGTAAATAAAAATCTGTAATTCGGAATATGATGTTTTAAAATGATTATAATTAAATAATAAATGCTTAAATTTACAGAAATTAAGTAATTAGTTTTTAATTAAAATGTTTTTTCTATAAAACTGTCGTTATTATTATTTTCCTCTTTAACAAAAATACAACAAACAATACAATAAATATTAAAAAAATACAAAAATAAATACAATAAATAGCTGAAATCATCGGATGAAACAGACCGGGGAAATAAAGCTTATCTGAACTAGAACTTTTCTTGTGGTTTTTCGAAAGAATTACTATACAAATTTATGAGATAAATAAAAATTGGTCATTCGGAATATGATATTTTAAAATAATTATAGTTAAATAGTAAATGCTTAAATTTACAGAAACGCTAATTAATGATAAAAGTTTTATTAAAATGTAAGTTTTGTGGGAATAGTGGTTTTGTGTTTCTAAAATTCTGGTTTTGATTGGGAATAAACCCTAAAAGCGCGACACGAATGTTTTGAGTCATTTTAAATCATAATGTTCGAAAAAATAAGACGCACAGTTTAAAAAAAAAAAAAAAAGTATTTCTGTTACATTTTTCTTCATTACTATTGCATTTGCATTTCTTCTTCTTCGCCTCTTCTCCTTTTTCCTTCCAAAGAATTTTTTCAACGTGTTTTTTATTATTTAATTTATTTTTTAAAACTAATCTTTATTACTTTCGTTCACATGTATGCGATATTTCAATTTCTATTCATTTAATTAAATTGACATCCTTCCTCCTGATTCAGCACTCTTGCAAGTTCTTGAAATTTGTCGATGTTACCGTAATGTTACAGAACAGTAGCCTTTAATTCACCATATTTTAGTTACCTCTTTGATGAGTCAAATAAGGAAATAAACTATCTCAAACAATAAAAATCAACAATTGCTTAGGGATTCAGACGATTTTTCCCAGTAATTTTTATTTTTTTACAAAAAATAATATTCAAATTAAGTTTGTAATGTGATGAAATTATACGATATACACCCCAATCTTTCCCATGAGATTGCTAAAGTTTGAAGCATGATCATCATCAAGAGAACTAAAGAGGAAAAACAAAAGTTTTCTAAAGTGCTGATTAGAATCTTGTTAAAAATACTGATAAATAATTATCTAGCCATGAAAAGAAATAACTATTACCAAACATCTTCAGTAATCATACATTGATTGAGGACATCAGTAAGAGATTAATTTATCAATATTATTAATAATCTAAACAAGAAAAAATAAATAAATAATCCACTTTTTAATATATATTTTTTTATAAACTACTGTACAAACAAAAAAATTTTAATAGACTTTTTATTATTTTATCGTTTACAGAATTTTCTTTTTAAAAAAGTTCCTTTTTGTTATTTGATGCAGACAATTAAGTTTTGAAAAAATATAGCTATAGCAAATGTCCACTATCTTTATAATTTTTCAAATAAATTTTTAAAAAAACAGCAACAAAGGAACGCATTATCACCTTATCGTTTGCAGAAAAGTTGAGAAAAATACAGATTTTTTTAAAATAATTATAACGATTATTCTTGAGAAAAATGTAACTATAAAATAAACAAAAATTTTCCTTAACATTTTTTCAAAGAATCATTTGTCAAAAAAAAATAATAATAATAAATAAATAAATAAATGAATATATAATATAAAAGAAAACACATGCAGAACGATAAAACACATTATCGTTTGAGGAAAAAATATTAAGAAATTATTTTTCATGCTTCGTGCAAACGATTATTTTTAACAAAAATATAGTTTTTAAACAAACGCCTTATTTTCTTTATTATTTTTTGAAATTACCATCATATTAAAAAAAAAAACAATATAACTCATTATCGTAAATAGAACATTTAATAATTTTCGTTTTCAGTACAGATTATTTTTTGCAAAAATATACCAATAAACTAATTTTTTAGAAAATAACTAAGGAATTTATTGTACTTAATGATGAAGTAGTACTCTATAATGAAGCAATACTTAATAATGAAACCAATACCTGGCCACTACAAACATAGTTTAAAATTTAAGAAAAATTGTAATACCAATACTTTCAACCAAGGCTACGCCATAATTTCGCCAAGGCGTCGAAATTACGCAGCGCATTCAGTGTTCAATAATCCCAAAAGAGGAGGAAAAGAGGAAGATGAAAAAGAGCACTTACTTAGCCTCTGGAAGAGGATAATCCGGTTAGAAGAGGTGGATGCGATCCCATGATCGGCATCTCTGTTAGGCCTATTAGAAAACGATATTGATAAATAAGAACAAAAATTGTGGACGGATAAAAGCTGATAGAGATAAAAGCGATCGCACTAGGTGGTTTGAGTGGAGGACGGAGTTCGGAGGTAGGGAGTACCTCACGCGGTGCTAGCCAACCGTAGTGTGTCGTCTGCGCCAGCTGCCCTTTGCGCAGGTAGGTGGACATCGACCAGCTCCGGCAGCAAGGTGTCCAGGAGATCCTGCTCCCGATTCCCTGGGCCGGACATTTGTCGCTAACTGCGCATTTTCTTTCTTTCTTTGTGACAGTGGGTGCTGTGGATAGATGAATGCAGACTCATTATTTTGCTGTAATTTTATCGAATCTTTGAATTCTTCGAATAAAATGATCAGATTTTTACTGATTGTATGGATGAATGGTATAAGATATCAATGAAAATTGTTGGGGATTTCAAATCTTCAGACGCTTTTTTTTCCAGGATTGGTCAGTAACGTTTCAGCTAAATTTTAGCATGACAAAGGCGTGTCAAACATATGAAAACAGGCAGGATGAACGGAAAAAAATATTTTCATCTTCGCTAAAAAGATAGATAAGAAGATCCATCAGAATTATATTAGTTTTTTTCACTAATTGTATGAATTAAGAGGGATAATAGATTTGAAATAAAGTGAAATAACTGATAATGATAACCGCTGTTTCAGCCAGTGAAAATTTTTATCATAAAACAAATTTAATCGTGATTTAGCTTTACATCCAAAAACCAGTTCCACCCTCTTGATTGGTACTTGTCAAAAATGAAATTGTTTAATCCAGGCATTCCAGTTTTGTTAAGATACTTATTTTTAACTAGTTAATTTTTTAATGCTTTCATACTTAAACAATTAAAACATTTTAAAGAAGCAACTAAGTTTAAGATATTTATATTGCCCTCTATCTTCAGATCAAGCAAACGTCAAGGCAGTTTTCAATGCTGATAGAATGAAGGTGAATAATTTTTAGCCAAAACCAGGGCTGCTAATTTTTGGAAAAGATAAAAACCAGGTTGTGAAAACAATTCATTCATTTTTTTCCCCAAGAGAAATAAATTATCCATGACTACCGCTACTTATTAACGGTTATAACAGACATATGCATATATGGCAGTACTTTTACTTTCGTTACTTGTACCGCCGGTACAAGTAAAAAGTACGTACTTTTACTTGTACTTCGTTACTTTTTACATTTAGTACTTTTACTTGTACTTTCGTTACTTTTTTGGGGAAAAGTACAAGTATTTGTAACGGAAATATGGAATGAAATCGTTACTTTTTTCTAAAACTCGGTAAGCTTTCTAAAAAAAAAAATAAANATGAATCCTGCAGGGCTGTCCATAAACCAGTGGGAGTAAGAGGGGGTGGGGATATCTTCTGAACATCACGTTGCAAGGCATCCCAAATATGTTCAATAAAGTTCATGTCTGGGGATTTTGGTGGCCAGCGGAAGTGTCTAAATTCAGAAGAGTGCCGCTAGCCACCAAAATACCAGTTATTTGACTCTATTTGGTATACCAGTTTTTTTGGCTCTCCAGTGTATTTAATGATTTCAAACTTAAACAATTAAAACATTTTAAAGAAGCAACTGAGTTTAAGAAATTTATATTGACCTCTATCTTCAGATCAGGCAAACGTCAATGCAGTCTTCAATGCTGACAGAATAAAGGTGAATATTTTTTAGCCAAAACCAGGGCTGCTAATTTTTGGAAAAGATAAAAACCAGGTTGTGAAAACAATTCATTCATTTTTTTTCCCAAGAGAAATAAATTATCCTTGACTACCGCTACTTATTAAAGGTTATAACATACATATGCACTCGTAAAAATTATTGACTTATATCTGTATTAAGTCATAGTTGGTCGTTTTCTCCATGCGAAAATTTTTTGCTGTAAAATGATTTTACTGCCAGTATAGGAAATACTGTTAAGAAAATCATTCCGTTTCAGCTTGCCTTCAAAAAATTATTTTGTACTTATATATTTATTTTGTCGATAAAACATATACAGAGAGGCCAACTGCTCCGGATTCGGATTTGCAGACTTCTGGTAAATTTTGCCAACTTTTCAAAAGGCTCAACATGGCTTAACTGCAAATAAGTGGTGCATACAAAAGTCTGTGAATTATTTAGAAGTAGTGGTGAGTAAAAACTCAATAAATTGAATTTACTAAACCAAGAATCATTCATTAAAAGAAAACCACTCGAAAATATTAATCCACTGTCCAGAGCACGTTGGCCTTTCTGCTTATATATCGGACAGATTATTTAATCGAGTAAAAAGAAATAGCGATGAATAGTTTATAATCAAGAATAGTATTTTATTTTATAAAAGTCGTTGAACAGCCGACCCAAATTTAAGGGCTTACGAATACTAATGTTCAACTTCGTACCCTTGTAATTTTGAACCCAATCCAGAAGACAAGGGAACTCCTGGATCGAGTATTAGGAGTAATTTGCCTTCGGGGTGGACTTTTTGATGGAGCTAACCAGCATTTGCGTTACATGGAGAGGAAGACCACGAGAACCTCCCACGGTTAGCCTGACGACAAGGGGACTTTGACCTACTTTTACCTAATTCTACTTCGTTTAAAGATTATTGTAATTCGAAGTGCCTTTTTTTTTTCTTTCCATCTTTCTTTTTTTTAATTCAACATTGATTGATATTGTGTTTCTCATTTTAACAGTATTTTTTCTCTAGAAATTTATCTTGCAAAAACGAGGCTGTCGTTTGACATTTACATCAGCTGACTGAAATATTTTAAAACTAAAATGGCATCCAACATTAGAAAATATCAAATTACTCCAATAATAAATGCTACTCCAACACTTTTTTTTCTTCATAAAAAATACTTTCTAGATAGCAACAGTAATTCAGAATGGGTTTTCAGTATTCGAAGCATCCTATTAAAATTAAAACGATTTTAATAAAATCATGAAATTTTTTTGCTTTTTTTTTAATAAACGAGATATTTTAAATACCACATTATGTTATTTTAAGCAATGATATAGTTCTAAAACTAATTGCGGTGTTATTTTGAAATTAAAGTTTTTGGTTAAAGCTAAAAGTAAAGTATTTTATTAGCCTTAAATTGAGTTAAAGCAAATTGGCTACCATGTTTTAAAGGACACTTCTTTAACTGGTTTAGCACAATATGTCCGGATTTTCTGAAAGATTTTATTTTCATATTTTAAAGTGGTGAAGAAATTTATGTTATTCAATTAAATTCTTTAAAGTCCAATATAAATTATAAAGGAATTTGACCACCACTATAAATAAATAACACTTGGAACAGTTTTTTTTTTATCCTATTTTCTGTTGCATGATATTTTTGAACTTATCTTATATATTTTCACGTCTCTACTTTCTAATCTTCAATCGGTTTCTCTTTACTAGCTGTAGTTTTTATACAATTTAATAATGTATTCCTAACCAGGATGTTTTAAAATTGACTCGAGTGAATAATAAATATCCCCACTTCTCACCTACTAAGGGAGTGATAGGATGAAGGTGATGATGCATTTTAGTTTATGATACGATATGATTTTAAAAATAATGATAATAAATAAATGAAATGAAATAAATGTTTAGTATTCAGAACAAAAAAAATTTTGACTTGAAATCCTGATACCTGAATAAGGTAAAATCTAATTTTGGTATAAATTTAACTAAAATTTTTTTCTTCCTCAGAATAATTAAGGCAATAATTTAAATGCACAATAGTCCTGCGATTGGGAGACCTTGTTAATATTTTTAAATATTTTTGTCTCTAATTGTATTTCGGCATTACCATTTGGAAAATTTAGTTTCAGAAAGAGTGATAGTTGGCAGTAGGTTATATTCGCCAGATACCTCGACTTTCAGTCGGAGTTTATTGCAATGGTTTAAAATGATAGCAAAGCTTGCGCTATGATCTGAAAAAATTTCCTCAATGGTAATACACAATTTTAGAAATGTATGGGTATAAATATATATATATATTTTCTGGGAAAAAAATACTACCCTTAATTGGGGAAACGGCCGATAATGATTTAAGCCGTTCATTTTATATACAAATATATAAATTTAAAAAAAAGTTCTCGTAAGATTTTGCTTAAATGCTGAACCATATAATTTTAATAATCCCGATAATCCCGAGGAACTAATAATCCCGAGAAATTGAAGTGGTACGATATTACTTGATTAGAAACTTCATTCGCTTCAAAAATAAATAAATAGGTAATAACACCAGACATGTTTCAAGCTCTCTGTTCAAGCCGGCACCCACTTTCAATTGTCAGACGTGAATGATTTGAAACATTGAAAGTGACTTGATAATTCAAATCACTGTTGCTTCTTCTCATTCCCGCCTGGGGAGCCTTGAAAATGGGTGCATGTCTTTGCGTGCTTGCAATACGTCGAGTGTTATTGCACATTCATATATTTTTGAAGAGAATAAAGTTTTTAATTAAGTGACATAAGCTTGTGTTTCATTCGTTTTTGTAGGATAGTTTTTAATGAAAATGTCATTACGTTTATAACTAATTATTGTGTTTTTGAGTCTAATATTTATTTATATATTCATAATTTTTTTTGTAAGATGATTTTACTTGGATAAAAAGTAACACTATTGAAAACCAAATGAAAATAATATAGGGGAGAGGAAAGCTCAAGTAGACAGTTTTTCTTAGATCAGCCAAAAAAACTTGCTAAACATTGTTATGAATCTATCTAATACCATTTTTTCCCCATTGAAATTTGGACGAAGACATCATGAGTTATGCATTAATTTAATTTGGATTAACACTTCTTTAGTAATCTATTTTTTTTAAAAAGAAAGTTGTTATTTTTGACATTAGTGTCATGTCATGAATCAATTGTATTTATTGCAAATTAATTAAAAAAAATCAAATTGAAAAAATTTTGCAAATTTATTTTTTCCCTTCAAAATCTAACTGTTTAAGAATGCATGCATAAAATACAAGTTCAATATAGCTCATCTGTTAAAAATGCTTTATTTCATTGATAGAGGGTAGGGTTTATTTATTTGAAAAAATGCGATTATTTAATTTCTTGTGTTATATCACTTCTTAAACGAAAATTTTTTTGTTTGATCATCTGATTTAAGTATGTTTTTCTAATATATAAGAGTC